GGGGTTGTCTTATATATCAGGTGAAAAAATTACCATATTCTATTCATCATTTCTTTAAAAAGATAAAGGCAATTATATTTACAAGCTCATTTTTATTAATCATTAAAAAACTTTTGCTACTGGAGGAACTGTCCTGCATTGCATCATGTCGCGAGTCTCATGCAGAGCTGCAGACTCGGTCCTGCGTCCAGAGCCTGCCCCACTCTCATGGGGGGAGCACACTGTGTCGGGCCAGCTGCAGTGGTGGCAGCTGGGAAGTGAAGTGTTCCTTGTGCAGCTGTCTCAGCAGAGACACAGTGCTGCTTGCACAGACCTTTCCCCTCTCACCCAGCCCAGTGTACCTGTCCACAGTACTGACACAGGCGGTCTCCCCAACCAATCCCAGCCAGCCAGCACCTTTGTGAGCTATTGTCGGCCTCCAAATTGGAGAGGTCTAGAAGCTTCTAGACGACAATATACTGGCATATAAGACCCCCTCAAAGTAAAATACCAAAGCAAAAATTGGGTGCCATCTGATATGCCTGACACATGACAAAAACCAGAAAAACATCCCAAAATATCAACTTTCTCTTATAGATGAGTTGCCTTATACACTGCCATATATGATATACTAAACCACTTAGAGTTTACAAGGGTCCTTTATCCATAGCATACTTTACCTCTAAATCAATCATGTCTCTGGGAAATGGCACCTCTGGATTCTCACCAGTATCTGTGATGGGAATGTTTGCTTTTTTAATCTCCTTTTCCACAAACCCTGAAAAAGAAAAGAACAATAACATTGGGGAGATTGAACCAACTCAAGCAATATCAGGAGAGAATGAAAGGAATCCTCAGACAACCATATCCTACAACTTATCCTCTGCTACTTAGTTTAACCAGCCCACATAACCCTTCACAGTCAAGTAACATCTCTATCTATTAAAAAATAAGTAATGGGCAAACATAAAAAATTACCACTAACCCTGTGTGATTTCACAGTGGCAGAGGCTAACAATACATTCATTCATTCATTCATTCATTCATTTAGAAGGCTTCTATGCCGCCCCATTCGCCGAAGCCTCGGGGCGGCTCACAATAATAGATAAATAAGCACATTATAAAACAATATAATTTGAGTCGACCTGGCCCAAAATATAAAACAAATAAATAATATTAACAATTAGAATAACGTTTGAATAAAAAGGTCTTTGCCTGGTGCCGAAAAACAAATAACAACGGCGCCAGGCAGACCTCTCTGGGGAGCGCATTCCATAGATTGGGCGCCACTGCAGAGAAAGCACTCCGAGCACTAACCCTCCTAATATCCTTCACGGAGGGTTCCTGGAGAAGGGCCTCTCCTGCTGATCTCAAGGGGTGGGCGGGCATATAAGGCTTAATCGATAAAAATCAACTTCTATAAGTCCATGCATAAGCAATGCAAAGTCAAAGAAAGTAATGACATACTGAGTTTCCTGTCCATTTCTTCACACCTCCGAACTTCATTAACAAATTTACGCTGGAACACATTCACATCAGGATTTAGCTGCCAATAAAAATAAATTATTATTATGACACATAGCTCTGCATATAGGCAGAGAGTTGGAAAGACTAAGTACTGGCTGTTGCCTCACTCAGAAGCTCCTCCTACCAAAGGCTAAACTGCTGCAATGTCATGGAAAGCCAATGAAAACACTGGACTACTCAAAGGGAACGTGCGAATAGTAACTACCTGATCAATATGAGTCTTATCTAGGCTACAGCACAGTTACTTGCCATCAAAGGCAATGCTCCTGGCAATTAACACCTGGATAGTATTTAAATTTCAATTACATCCTAGGAAGAAAAAATACCTTTGAAGCCCACTTGTCATGGTACAATTACTTGTACTGTGCAACACACGGAAATACGTACATCCCGAAACTGGACCTTCCCGAGTTCTCCCAATTCACTGACACAGCAGTATGCTGCTTCAGACTGAAGGAACAGTTGTGCAAGCGTCATTTCTTCACTCCGAAAAAGCTCCCCCATATTGAATTATAATATCTTGTCAAACTAGGGTGAGAATCTTCTTATCCCTCTAAAAATGAGAAGCATAAAGAAAAATATAAATTGTTCCTTTGAGACCACAATATGTACACACTGTAGAATAACTCATATTCCATTTCTGCAGTGACAATATCCATAGAATATTTCAATAATTCTAGTTGTACAAAGTGCCTTAAGAACCAAAACTAGAGATTGAAGTAGTGGCTGAAAAATCTAACTTCTGTTATGGTTTTACCAGTAAATATTATGTAAGGGCTATAAAAACATAAAATCACATTTCATAACTTCAAGTCTATAGCTATTCTAAAACCTAGGTTTTTTTCCCCTAAACAAGTTTTTCAGTATAAGTTGTTCTAAGATATTTGTGTCTTATAATGGCAGCCACATGCATTTGTGTTATCTGTGGAGAAAGAATCATAGGAAGAGCTACTCCTGTGCCACACACAACTTTGTACAACTATGCAGTATAACTGCAATCAGAATGCTATTGCTTTGGAAATCATCTCTAATCTCCAGGTCTACAGTTTTATAAGCAGCTGTCCATAACATGGCACCTAATTGTCTCTGCAGGCTGCTGTCCCAGAAACACAGGCAGGAGCCTATCAGTTAACAGCCATCTTGATGGAAGGACATTACATAGCACTGCAGCAGATTTAACCAACTGCACAGAGACTCAGCGCTCATTTTCACTAAGGGATGGGACAGCATCCAGATGTCACAGTGCACAAGGATTATCCAATGAAAGCCAGGTCTGACTGGTTCTCTGGCCTTTCCGGTCAGATTAATAAGGCTGGATACTAACTGCAGGCTTGCAGACATAAAAATGACACACCAGAAAGAGGTGGGTCTGTCTAAGGACCAGAAACAATTTAAATCCCATTCATACATACATGCATGTCAAAACAAATTATGCATTTTTTCTGCTTGGAAAGTATCACCTTCTAATTAATAAGGAAACAGAAGCTGGTGATTTATCCGGTTACTGCTCTGTCTTGTTTCCTCTTCCTATTAAATGCTTTCTTGCATTAAGTATTTACTGCATCGCTTAATGAAATGGTGTCATTTCCCACTTGAGAACCTGCAGAACAGTCCAAGCAAGTTCTCATAATATTTATTCTGCAACTTTCTAGACAATATATCAAAAATATGGTGTTGCCTTCAGATTTAAAGCACATGGTCTTCAATGTCTATACTAATGCCCAGATTATGGGAAACAAACAGCATGTACTTGAACTCCTAATACAGGAGGGTAAATATGACCTGATAGGCACAAATGAAACTTGGTGGGATGATTCCCATGACCAGAGTTCAACAACTGAAGGATATAACCTGCTCAAGAACAGAAGGAACAGTAAGGGAGGCGAAGTCACACTATATGTTAAAGATACATATCTCTGCACAAAAATTCAGCAGGATAAGCTTAGCAGCCCCATTAAGTGCATCTGGATTAAAATAAATGGAACAGGAAATAAAAGAAACATGGTGGTTGGAGTCTATTACCACCATGTCAAGGAGAAGACAAGGATAAAACTTTTGAAAAGCAAATTGCCAGTGTTCCAAGGAGGCATGATGTCATTGTTATAGGGACTTCAATTTCCCCAATATCTGTGGGGAAAGATAATGCCAAACATGGTCCCTCCAAGAGATTCCTAACATGTGTTACTGATAACTTCCTCCAACAGAATGCAGAGGAAATAGTAAGAGGAAAGAGTATCTTTGACTTGATACTAGCCAACAGAGAAGACCTACCAGACAAAGTAACAGCTACAGGAACTCTGAGGGAAAGTACCTATAAGTTCACACCCTGAATTTTAGGAAAGCCAATTTGCATAAACTCAGAACAGTAAGTTAAGTCCCATGGCAAGTAACTCTAATGAAATAAGGAGTCCAAGATGGATGGGAACATCTAAAAAAAGGGAATTCTAAAGGCACAATTACAAACCATTCCAACAAGGAAAGAGGTAGAAGACAAAAGAAGTCCATGTCTTTACAAAAAGCTTAGAAATGATCTGAAAACAAAAAGGTCATGTATAGGGAACAGAAGGAAAGCCAGACTACAAAGGCAGAAGTTAGCACAGAATTGAAAGGATGGAACTAGGAAGGCTAAAACTAGGAATGAACTGAGGCTTCCAAGGGATGCTAAAGGCAACAAAAAGCATTCTTCAGATATACCCAAAGTAGAAGACAGAGGAAAGTAATGGGGGTTTAATTACTCAATGTGAATGGCAAAATTGTAACAGATAAAAAAGAAAAGACAGAAGTGCTAAATTCCTACTTTGGCTCAGTCTTCTCCCAAAAGAAGTTCCATGACTTTTCTGATGAAGGGGAAGTACAAACTGAAGGTGCAGGATAGCAGCTCAAGATTGATAGGCAAATGGTCAAGGATCATTTAATTGGGATGAATGAGTTCAAATCTCCAGGCCCCAATGAACTCCATCCCAGAGTCATAAAGGAGCTGGCAACTCTCAAAACCACTGTCTATTATCTTTGAGAAATCATGGATGACAGGGGAAGTGCCAGGTGATTGAAGAAAAGCAAATGTTGTCCCTATCTTCAAGAACTTCCTGAGTGTTAGAGCAGTATGACAATGGAACAAATTACCTAGGGAGATTGTGGGCTCTCCCATACTAGAGGCATTCAAGATGCAACTGGACATCCATTCAAGAGGGATGGTTTAACTAGAAGTCCTGCACGTAGCAGAAGGTTGGACCCAATGGCCCTCTGACCCCTTCCAACTCTACTATGCTATGATTCTAGTCTATTATTCTAAATCTATGGTTCAACTTATTTACATATGTATTTATTTGATTTATATGCTGCTATACGCTTTCTGGGCAGTTTACATTATATAAACTTTTATACCTGAATAAAGCATAGCAAGGGAATACTAATTCAAACAAATGTGATGCATAGAAGGTACAGTTCAATGACGGTTAGGGACCAAAAGTTAAAAAGCCAAACAAACACACTCCCTTGCACCACAGGGCACAATATGCTATACTGGATGCTCACAAAAACTGAGACCACAAGCTTTGCACACAATTAAAAACAAAGCAAAGCAATGCTGCCATTTTATTCCAAGGTTCCTATTGGCAAGAGAAGATAGCATATCAAGAGAAATACAACAATATTTGTGCTTGGACTTCAACCTCCAACTCATGGAAAATTGTTCTGATGTAATCAAATCAAAGGTAATTCTGCATGAAGTGCTAAATGACATCAAAGGATCCCTTAAACAAGAATCTTCCTTTCAGTTTGTATCATCCTTTGCTCTCCCTGCTGCACAACCCCTTGCCAAACACATTAAATTACCTCACTTCCCCTAAAAAAATGTTGTCTCCTCAGAAACATAAAGATTAACAAAAAAAAACCTTCCCTTACCTGGCCATTCTACGCATGACCCCAATGTTCACTGCAGACAACCCCCCCCCCCACAAAGTCCCATATATCCAGTGTACCTAAAAGTCTTTCCCCCCTTGAATGCCCTTGATCCCCACAAATGCTCTTAAATGTGACCCAGACAGCATTTCGGGAACAAACCAGCCAGCCCAAGGGTAGGTCTCAAATCCAACCCCCCACCACTACACCGGGGGGGGGGACTCTTTGCTTTCCCCTTTAGCCAAAACCGTATGGCCTGGCTAGACACAAACCTGAATAATATTTTGGAAGAACAACGGTAGTCACAGACCTAACCAAATTTCCTCACTAACCCTCTTCATACCCTAATGCGGGAATATTATTATTCCCTATCCGCCTCCACCCGAACAGAGTCAAGACCTTTCACGACTTTCGCATACCCACAATGCATTTCACATCCTTTCTGTCGCCAACCACCCGCATTACCCTCTTCACCAACTCCCCGCCACCCCCCGGGCCTTTACGCCCTCCCTACCTGGCACCCCGAAACAAACCACAGCACCTACTTGAGTCATCTACCGCTCGAGCTTCCGCCAATGATGTCACCACGCAGTGCCTTCCCACTCTTCTTCCGCTGAATAGCTGGGTTGCTTAGCAACAGTGCCCGTAGCTATTTATGGGCGTTTGGGGGCCTCTTGGCCAGCCGCCATTTTGCTGCCTGTTCTCTTGACAGTGGCCACGGTCGACAGCGAACAGGTCTCTTTGTGGTTCTAGCGGCGTCATCTGCAGCGGTGACGTCATACGATTGACGTGTTTGAGAACGTTTCCGCCGGAGCTAGTGCTGAAGTTGCTGTCGTCGCAGGTAGCAGTCCTTGTCCCTGCTACGGAGGGAGATATAGCATCTCAGATTACTATTTAAATCATTTCATAGCAACATTAAAAAGTTATGCTGGTCTACGAGAAGAAAAAAAGGCCAAAGGCCATAGTCGTGGATTATTAAAGTTGCTGTTAACAGTACCGAGAACTGTTGCCTCATTGACTGAACACTTCAAGCCCAAACAATCGCTACACAATACAAGTCCGGTTTGCTTGATGTGTAGTTATAAATGGCACTCAGCTTTTGCGCTGGGGCTACGGTATGGGTAAAGGCTTAAACCTCTTTTCTCTATCCCTTAATGCAAATCTGAATGTAACATTGTTCAGGTACAAACTCTTCATAACCTTACGAACTCTTCTACCGCACAAAAAGCTTTCCATGTGGAATTGTGTGACACGTGAAGCAGCCTTTCAGGCCTTATAAAAATGCAAGAATCCCACTAGAAGAAAGTAGCCGCCTTCAGACTGAAAGCTGCAAAGGGAATGCCCATGGAGAGACAAAAGAGCTTCTTTTAGCCACGGAACAACGGTGTGGTAAAGGGATTGGACCTAATTCTTTAAAGACCAGTTGACAAAAAATACCTCTTTTACTGTGTTTTTCTTCATTGGGGGCATCTCCAATTAACAGCTGTATGATAGGCAGAAGTTCAATTGATGTAGTTTTCCTTCAAGATAATCCATGTGAGAAAAAATTGTTTGAATTTGTGCCTGGTGAACTGCTGTAAAATGTGGTACGGGCATCTAAACCTTCAATAAATATTTATTACTTCAATATTTATCTGGCTCTTACTTCAACAAGTTTGGAGCAGTGCACACTGTGAGTGCCTCTTCCCCCACAAATACATTCATCCTCACAACAACCCTGTTTGATAGTTGAGGTTGAATAATTATTTGCTCATGATCATCCAATGAACTAAATCTAGTTCTCTCCAACAGTAGACTACACTATGTCTACTAAACTTTAACTTTTGGGGCTAAAAAAGTTTTGATGTGTTTGCATTATATAATCCAGGCTAAAGAAAGAATCCAACTTATTTTTAACAGTATTATTATTGCTTTACATGTTTACCCTGTCTTTGTTCCTCTTGCTAGGAACCCAGGACAGCTTACAAGGTTTTCTTTCTATTTTATCCTCACAACAACAACCTTGTGAGGTAGGTTAGGCCGAGAGTCCATGACTGGCCCAAGCTCACCCACACCATTGCTGAGAGGGGACTACAAGGTGGCTCTCCATTTTTGTATATATCAAAACAGAGTGTGCATTCATGTTGCCCAGTGGTTAATAGAATAGAGTATGCATTCATTAGTATGTTGCTGAGCAGCAACATAACCCTTTACCCTGTTTGGAGCATCTTGGATATCATATGAGCAATATGAGCACAAGCCCTTATTTTGCTCCAGCTTAAAAAGGCCTACTTTGCTCCCTTTTAATATAAAACTGACTCATTACCCTCAGACACAGGAATTGTTTGTTTCTCTTCTGAGGATTTGTCAGGACAGAAGGGTGTGCCTTGGAAAATACTTTTTATAAAATAGACGGTTCTCAACCTGTGGCAAAAGAAAAAAAGAGGAAAAAAAGCACCATGCAGAAGACACTATTATTCCCAGTATATGGCTTTATATATGGGATAAACTGACAAAAATAACATTATTAATTTGAGAATAGAAAACAGATGATGAGCGATGCTACTGCCAAATAGTCCATGTAGTCAAGAAAATTCTTGAGTAAATAGCATTTGTGTGAAGCTATCTTATGCTGAGTTATGCTTTGTCTAAACAGCCCATTATTGTATATAATCTAACTGAAATCTCCCAGGTTTTTAAAAGGTTTTAATTGGAAATGCCTTGCCTTGGAATTGACATGTGATAATTCATATATAAAGCTGCTGGTTCCTTCCTTTTTTATTGCCCTATGGCAACATCTAATAACAACAGCAGGAGTGAATGCACCTTGCACTCAGGACGGGTCCTAGTATTAGGTGGAATGAAGCAGCTTTAAAGGACTGTGGACTTTGTCAAACTCATTGCATATGTCCTCTTGTTGTGTCACCCTGAAAGTACTAATATACAGGAGAATTGCCCCCCCCACACACACACACACAAATGTCTACCCTTTCCTGGTACTGTACTTAGAAATGAACTTTGGGATTTTCTTCCCTTTAATGCAGCACAAAAGAGCAGAATTAAAAGTAGGTGCTGGATCAATGATATGTGCCTACTATTGTTTCTTTTAAAAACTGTGTGATCTGGTTAGATAGATATAGGACCTGCTGCTTTCATTGACCTCTCCAGAAAATAATCAGCATCTCCCTCTAATTAGCCCATTGCAAATGTCCAGTCCAGGATGTGACAATGGAAACTGTGTTTCCAGAAAATGGCAACTGCTGCTCATAGCAATGGTTGGCAGCTGCAGCACAGAGCAAGGCTGTGCTGTACAGTGACCCAGTCTGTGCATTACCAACTAAAGCATTCCCATTTAAATTTCAGAATGGCTTTCTGAAGAATATCTGAGCCGGACGTGCCTGCTTGCATGAGTACATCTGCATGGCACAAATAAGCTCAGTAGCAGAGCTAGTTGTGTATGATAAGTGATCCAAGTCACATATGTCCTGACCTGTCATGTGTGCCTTTAAAAGGAAACACTAAAACTTGTGCAGCCCTGGCCAAGGGCAGAAGTCTCAGGGTTATCCCAGCTGTGTTTCTTTGTGCAGCTGTTTCCAGACAGACACTTGTTAACATTTGCATGTTTTTCTTGGGCAGTTTTTCAACAGCAGCTTCTGCATAGAAAGATGTTGTTTTGTTTTCTCCTCCTCGGAAATCTTCTTAGGAATTTCTGCCTTCCCACTATCTAGTAAAAGTGAGGCTGTTGCAGTTTGGAGTTTTGCATTCCTCTGCAAGAGAGTTAGCCAGCCAGTTCTGCCTGTGCTTGCATGCTAAAGCTGTTGCCTCCTCTCCAACTATTTTAATCATTTCAGAAAAAAAAGGGGGTGGGTCTGCCAGGCATTTGGCAAGAGGCTGTTTTCCTCCAGTTGAGGTGGAGTCAGCCAATGGCCTTGAAGCTTGGAAAAATTTGCAGGGCAGTTTTCCGGACAGCTTTGCAAGGGTTGTGCCATTTCATTTGAAGCACACATCCACACGCTGTGCTCCTGGCTTCTGGCTAGCCTCCCAGATCTGAGAGATCTCAGATTCTGTCTCCTCTTCTCTCACTCGCTCTCTTGTCCCTGCAGTGTCAGGCTTCTCTGGACTCTGCTAGTCAAGACTCCAGAGCAATTATGGCAGACACCAGCCTTCAGATCATCGAGCAGCCAACAGCCTCTGAGGCCTCAGAGGAACCAGCTGGTGAGGAACCCATCAAATCAGATCAGATCAATGGTGTGATGGTGCTCACCCTTCTGGACAAGATCATAGGGGCTGTGGATCAGATTCAACTGACCCAGAGTCAGTTGGAGGAGAGGCAGCAAGAGATGGATGGTGTGGTGGCCAGCATCCAAGGGGAGCTGGCCAAGCTCACCAAGGCCCACACCACCACCAGCAATACAGTCAACAAGATGCTGGAGAAGGTCCGCAAGGTTAGCGTCAATGTGAAAACTGTCCGGCAGAACTTGGAAAAGCAAGGTGGGCAAATCAAGAAGCTGGAATCCAATGAGGCAGAGCTGCTGAAGCGTAGGAACTTCAAAGTGATGATCTACCAGGTAAAGTGAGCTTTGTTCCACTGCTGTCTTTTCAGTTGTCACTTAATAGCCTTTTAGTATGATGGCACATTGTGCTCCCTATAAGGGACTTCCCAGGACTCCCACATTACAGCCACCCTATATAGGATTTGTATTACCGCGGGCATCTTGAAGAGAGAAAAATTGAATGTTAAAATGTATGGCCAAGATTTTCTAAGATTTCAAAGTTGTCCTTAAGTAGCAATGCCAGTGCAAACTTCACAAGCATTTGCTAAAAACTATAGTTTAGGAGATGCTAATTCAGGTTTATTTGGTTTTTCTATATGGCAACAAGGAGCCAACTGGTGTCCTTAAAGCTACAGAAATGAAAATCACTTTCTTAAAAAAGCATGTAGAAGCAGTTGTTTGGGAAAGCAATCTGTACATTTTAATCAGCATGTCTCAGATATGTAACATTTTAAAAATGTACCTCTTCTTCATGGGTTTGGTGACAAATCAACAGCTTGCCTTTTGGGTTTGTGTTCATTACTTTTCCTGCAAAGCTAAATTTGATATGGTGTGAGTTACAGATTCTTTAATCACTGACGCTTGAGGTCTTGGAACTTTTTTCCATTTTAGTGAGTAGCTGCTTTGTTCTGCTTTGCAGCCCTCTCGCTAGCACATTTCCCAGCCGGCCTTTAGATCTCCTAATATCAAACAAATCAAAATATGCAGTTCCAAGCCAGGCTTCCTCTTCAGCTGTGGTGGTCTGGGCATTGCAGCCTGTTGTGAAAGAGAAACACAGCATCATGAGACAGGTTCACCTGCACCATAGGGACAAACTTATCTATAAAGAAAGACAACTGACTTGGGAGAGAAAAGCTGCAAAATGTAACTGTGTTTCTTACTACTGTGACATGAAAGTGGATCTAGTTATGTCTGTTTGAGGAATCTGGCAAGTAGCTGACAGATATAGCCCTCTGATTCACAGCCTGAGCATTCTCAGTTATATCATGCATCAAAGGCGGGAATACTCCGGTATATAAAGGCTATGAGTGTCACCAAACCTCATTTATAAATACACCTAATCAGACACCCTCTTTCGGGCCCCCCAGTTTAAAAAAGAGGGTGGTAAAAATGAAACATGCAACAAAGGAATGAGAGAGGAATAAAAAAGCATTAGAATCTGAAAGTCAGACAGTATAATCATTGCCCAGGGCACTCTGCAAAAGTTTATATAAATATTTCCTATTCCCCCATGCCACACCCTGTCTTGCCCCCGATCAAGATGGTAGCAAATGGAAATCAGATCAGCAATAGGTGCCAAGCTTGCAGCTTTAAGTTGTGTGAGTTTTGGGGGACAATAAACCGTGGAATCAGTAAAGTACCCAGAGAGGTTGCTTCATCTGCCAGGCAAAGTCCTGATTCTGACAATGTGGCAGCCTACTATGGGTAAATCAACCCAACAGGAGGTGTGGCACATGCTAGTTGCAGTTATGGTATGCAGATCCCAGCTGGGTGTTGTTGAGGATTGGCGTGTTGTGCAAGTGTGGCCAGGAGGGTTTATTTGAGGGATAAAGAATGGTCTCATAATCCACAATCTGCTGCAGAGTTATGCAAGGCTTGCTTAGCTTTCAAGTAATCCTACCATCGAGATTCACATAACACAGCTGAGGGTTGCATATTTATAATTTGCTAGATGGTTGGCCTGGAACTTGGGAGACCTGGGTTCTAGTTCCTACTCAGCTATGAAGTTCACTGGCTGACTTTGGGCCAGTCACTCACTCTCAGCCTTTCTATTGCACAGGGTTGTTGTTGTGAGGATAAAAAGGGAGTGGAGGAGGACCATCTAAGCTGGATTTGGTTCCTTGAAAAAGATGGGGAAAGCAGGGTATAAATGTGATACTAAAACACTAATAATGGTGGGAAGCACATGCCACAGCTCCTTAAAGGTTATTTGGGCTGCCACTTGGAACAAGCTCAATCAGTTGTTAGGGTAATGAACCATGCATTACTGTGATGTATGAACTGAGCTATATCCAAAGTTGAATTCTCAGTTCATGCACATATTGCATCTCTCCCCTACCTGATTTGTTCTTCTGAGGCATTGTGAAGTGACATTCCTGAATCACATCTGGCCAAAATGCATAAAAAAGATGCAAGAATTCCTATTTATGATTCAGATATCAATGCAGTAGACAGACCAATATCTTTATTTAACAATGTTATAATTTTCTTATTTTATCCTATCCCTGATAAGCCAGGGAGCATAAAATGTTAGGCTGAATTCAGAGGTAGCCATGCTTCAAGTAGAGCCACCAAAATAATCTACCCATGATTAAGTTCCATTAATTTCAATGTTTCTACTAATTTTCTGGTGCCTGAAATTGGGAAGCATGATAACTGTTGAGAAACATAAGTTATATAGACGGAAACTGGAGATGTCTTTTCCTACAGTTCCCCAAATCAATGCTCCTTATAATGTAGGTTCCTGCTATTTTTATTGATTTTTGGTTAGTGTTAATATCCTGCCAAGGAGTTCAGAGCAGCACTGTGGCCTCATGACAAACCTGAGAGATGAGAGATGGTGTACGATGGTGACGTGCTAAAGCTACTCAGTAAATTCTACGGTTAAGCCAGGTATTGAACTGGGGAATGCCATCTCCAGAACTATGCGATAGCACTGCACAATGCTGGCTATGGGAAGAAGGACCATAGCAGGATCAGGCAATTTGCAACTCTCAGCCTAGTTTCAAATGCCCCGACCAGCTTGATGTGCCTCTCCTATGACAGCCTGCTGGGAATAGAGGATGAGAGAAAGAGGAGGGGCTAAAGGGAAGTGGGGGGGGGGGAGAGGGAGAGCGAGAGAGAGAGAGAGGTGGCATATCACTTTTGCTGCTGGCCTGCCCATCACTAGCCCTCTATAGACCACCCCTGTTCTTCACCCTTGCACTGTCTGCACCTTCCAGGACTCAACAGTTCACTTATACCTTGGAGCCTGGGTTCAAATAACAGCTCTGTTCTTACACTCAGATGTGGCTTCAGTTAACCAGTCCTTTCACCTTTAATTAATTTATCAGAAAAGTGGGAATTTGGTGACCAACCATACAAGCTTGTGGCAATAAGGAAGGAAATAAAGTGTTGTTACAAAGGAGGGCTAGGTACATGAGATTGGAATTAGAAAACACATTTGCATGCTGTGGAAGGCTGTGGAAGCAATTATGAAATGGCTCAACAGAGATATATAATTTAGCTCCCTCGTTTGCATCCTCTTTAACACAGTGATTGATTGCAATGGACTGTTTGGACCCTGGGAAAAGCTGGTGCTGTAAATTTTCTAGAACTTCACCTTGTTGCAACAACTTTTCTCTGGTACAATGGGGAAAACAGATTTGCTTTCAAAGGGGAATTTTTTCACACTGAGGTCAGCCTGTGTTGTTGCTCTAGATGCTTCTCACCCTGCCTGGCACTATTTGTTTTGTTTCAGACTTGCTGCCTTTTGCATGCTGAAAACAGCTTGCTCTTTGGACTGAGGTCTATGCTGCACTACAGATGCACTAAATTGTTCAGTAGCTGTACAGCTAGTGTCTTCCTCAAAAATTTTCTGGGCTTGCAGTTTCCAACCTACAAATTATACACTGATTTGAACATTCAAAAAATCCAGTTAAGGATGAGAGTGGAGTGCTGGGCAGGAGGAACACTACATGTATATGTGTGCTGCAGGATGGGGTGAGGGTTTTGGCCAAGCAGGATTGATGCCATGATCTAGAAGCAATATTACCATCAACTGCATCAGAGGCAGTAGATTTTCTCAAAAGTTATTGAAGTAGCTGTTTGCCTGGGTGGAGCCCTGTTAATATCACAGGGCATACCTTTGTTATTGCTTTGTACCCCCATTGGAATTGCGGCATGAAGTCAAGGGGCTTGTATAGGGCGTGCTGTTTGTTAAGCACAGCACTTTTGAAGGACAAAGATCTATTCCATCCACAGTAAGGACTGAAAAGTAGAAGTATCATAGTGTGCCACTTTACTGTCATTGCCGTCTAACATTGCTGCAGTCAGCTCTCATTTGGTGATTTAGGGCACAGACTACCAAATCTTGCTCACACAACTCACATCGAAACTGACTTTGACAGCACGGGTTAAAAAGGAGTTTGGATCATGTTAAGCAATTCCTAGTTTTAGGGTAGCCAAAAGAAAAGAAAAAACAGGCAGGACTCCTGCACTTTTAATAGAATAAGAAAGTTTAATATTATCAATAATTTCATTTTCATACCCACCCCCCAACAGCTGAAGTTCTCTGGGCAATTTACAACAGTCCATAAAACAGATGATAAAAATATGTTAATAAAAATATATAACATCAGAAATACATTAAAAGTTTAAAACAGCTATTAATTTCAGCCGACGTCACCTGTTACAGAAACTGCCCCGGCTCAAATTCTCTCTTCTACACAGCTATTAAAGATGCAGTAGGCCCATCCTCTTGCATTTGCTCTCCCAACCTACAGAGCATTGAGAATACTTAAGGAAGCCTCCTTTAAAAACTTTGAAATAACAACTTTATCTGCAGGGGCACCTTTTCAGATATTATACATTAACAAGTCCAGGTTTGCCACTAAATCTATGCTTGACAGTGAGCCATAATTCACTGTGGATGTCTAATGAGTGAATGTGTATAATACATTTACAAACAGTAATTTGTCCCTACTTGCAAAACTTTTACATCTTCAAGGCACATTGAGAATATCTTAGATGCAATGTGTGACTCTGTGAAAATAGAATCAGGCTGTGATTTTTCTTTTGGATTTACTCAATTGGGAATTAGAGAGATCCCATGAATACCGCATAAATGTATAATCTGGAAATGCTGCTTTTTTCTCTTTTATGGAAAAACAATGTGAAATCATTCAAAATCTACCCTAGAGTCCTTGGTTGTACTTTACAATTATGTGCCATTGATGGATGGATGATCTTGAGATGCATGTTGTTCTTTTTACATTTTTGGATTATCACATTTCTGGTTTCTTCTTCATCTGCAT